GGGACTGAAGAAGCTGGTTTGGTGATACACATTTTTAATCCTGGAACTCAGTTTATATACCTGGCTGGCCTCAAACTCACAGAGATCCACCTGCCTCTGCCTCTTGCATGCTAGGATTAAAGGCCACCACACCGAACTGCTGTGAGACACTGTCTTAATACAGCATCATCATCCTCTAGCTCATTTCTTTTGCATTTTGCTCATTATCAATTACTTCGATTTCTCGACATCCCACACTCCTTTGAGTGTTGGTTTTATTTGGCTACCTCACTGCCTTTAGTTCTGAAGCCAATCGTCAGTTCCTTTCTCTTATTTCATCATTCTCAAGCTTCTGATTCATAGCTCACTGACTTACAGAACACTCCTGAGCAACCTTTGAAGAAAAGTGTGCTGACTCTGTTGGAACTCTGTTTTCAAGTGAAAGAAAACTAGCTTAATCTACACGGGCTGGTCCTTGTGTGAAATCCAGGTAAAACTTGAATACAAACAACCTCAATTTCTGGAAGCAGGAAATTGTATCCCTATCCCTGAATTCTACTTTTTCTATCTTGCCTTCATACTCAGAACGCATATGTTGGGTCCTAGATTCAATCATTACCCTGATATCCTATCAGGGAGCAACGTTGTATTTCTGAAAGCTCAGGTAACCTGGATGAAGTCACAAGTCTGGCCCTCAGGGTCCTGTGCTTGGGGGCGGGGTCAAACCTTCAAAGCACAGTGTGCAGAGGAGACAGTTTACCCAAAGGAAACCGAGTTGTTACTAATAGAAAAGGAGACATCTATGCGGGACAGTCCAATGTAACAGCTATCCGTTGTTTCCTAAGATTTTTTTAATTAAATTTGAATTGATCAAAGTTAAGCTTTATTGCTACAGCTTGAAGTAGTGCAATAATAAGCATGTTGATAAATAATTAGTAAGTAATACAGACATGTTAATCTTGTTTGGGGGACACTACATTAGAACAAATGGAAAATAAACACAAAATATATCAACGGCTACCTAATTTCCTTTTTTAAAAGACAAATGGGTATCTTCTAATTTTTTTCTTCTTCCTTCCTTCCTTCCTTCCTTCCTTCCTTCCTTCCTTCCTTCCTTCCTTCCTTCCTTCCTT